TTAAGGATTGTCACAGTGGTGTTTTTGGGGGGGCAAGAATGGCCCGCCCTGCAAGCCACTCAATATTGTTGTAGTTGGTTTGAAGATCAGGAAAAACTGATTCCATGAGTGTAGCTGGCGTTGTGACCACTGTAGACAACCCTTGGACGTTTACAAATCCATTAGTGTCCGCTGGAATAATACCTTCGCCAAGGGCTAATAATGAATTCGAAAATTCGGCGGACCCAACATCGTCAGTTACGTGTGCACTCATGTTGGTGGTAAGGTGCAATGGTCTAACAGTGGGCCAAAGTTGTGACGATTTCAAGCACGCTTGAATAGCGTCGGTCCTTGCCCCCTTAGGTTCAATGGGGAGGGTCTGGCGAAAGTCACCGGATAGAAGGACAGTTATACCTCCCATAAGGTCATCGGAGTTTCGAATATCCTTCAGAGAGCGGCTTACAGCCTTGAGTGCAGTTTTGGGACTGAGAGTGTACTCATCCCAGACGATGAACTTACATCGCCTGAGTACCTCCGCTAGACCTGATTGCTTGGCTATACTGCATTCTGCTGTTTCTACTTTAATCAGGTCAAGCGGAAGTTTAAACGTTGAGTGCATTGTTCGGCCACCCGGTTGTAATGTGGTAGCAATGCCTGAAGACGCTACTTCTAGCGCCACTTCGTCATGGCGCCGAATTTCTGCAAGAAACAGTTTTGATACGAACGTTTTTCCCGTTCCCCCAGGCGCGTCCAGGAAGAAAATTAATCCTGTATCCTGCGTGGTGGATGCAAGAACCGCATTGTAAGCGGCCATTTGGTCTATGAGAAGTTTTGGCTCATTTGTTGTGACATAGGCCTTGAGCTCCTCAACAGAGTAGGATGTCTCCCGCACAATCTCAGGTGAGAGACTGGAGGAAGTCACACGATCTGGGTTCGTACATTTGTAAGATTGTGGTGAAGAGGTGGCGCAAAGCAGAGGACATTTTTAAAAGTGCTCCCTCAGCCATTGTGGCATCCCACTTGCTGTCGTCTTCCAAAAGGCCGAGACGGAGGCAGGCCTCACGAAAAGTGTCACATAAAACTCCATTAACCGTTCGTAAGTTATTGTAGCTCGTTGGACCACTAACTTCGTGCAAAAGGAGTCGCAAGTAAAAACATTCCTGTCGCGATGGGGGAAACGTTAATACCCTTCCGAGTGTGGCGTCTTTTTTGACGCCTGGATAGCCCGCGACGTTGGCTCCGAACTTCCGCCGAGCCCAGGTGTTCTCTTTTTTCAACACGTAGTATGAAGGCACGTCTGGGTACAGTAGAGTCCTAGCAAACTCGTCCTGTCGACAAAGTTTGAAGAACGCTGTAAGCGTTGTGTCTTTGGTACGCGCAGCCACGTCCATTGCTGTATCCGCAGAAAAATAACGAAGTTCGTCGTTTTCTAGGTGCACAGCAAGCTGGACGATTGCTGGGAAGCGTTTGTGGATGGGGACGCTGAATATGTGCCTAGGGCCCTTTCTGCTGCTAATGACGCACCCTGCAAGGAAGTCCAGGATTTCGTCTACGGAACCTTCCTGCCTAATACCAAACATTGCAGCATCAGTCACTTTGTTGATGTACTTGCATACATACTTGATGGAGCGAACAGAATGGCAATATTCGACATTTATGTGCGTATTGAACGCTTTTGTTAGTAGGGGACTGTATGGCACTACCCACCTGTTATCCACTTGGTGGCCCTTTACCACGGCTGTAAATCCTCCTTCAGCGGGACTCCTTCGCCGGTACAGTGGATAACCAACGCTCCCTGTAATGGTTTCGCCACGAAATTTCGTGGGTACTGCCGGGTGCATTTGCCGTCGCTGTTGTGACAGCTGGTGTAATTGTAATGCAACCCGCAGGGACCATGAATCATGTTGGTTGTCACTATTTCGTACAATTCAGGGTCAGCCGACGGATCAGGAATTTCAGCAGAAATAAGATGATCGATTTCTGTGGCCTCAATCTTGTCGCACAGAGAAATTAGTATATGTGCGTGAGGCAGGCCGCGTTTCTGTCACTCAATAGTGTGCATGCGACAGCAAACAGCTCCAAAAAACTGGCCCTTTGTAATCACATCCATCAGCTTTCCCAACTTCAGATGGTAAACGCGCGCAATGAGGTCTGGACGGTCGTAGGCCGATTGCCCTGGTATAAGTTCTTTAGCAATTGCGTACCATTTTGGGTTATACGTGAAAGTTATGAATAGGTCTGGTCGGCCGTACATACGAACGTATGTCATCGTGTCTTGCGTCCTCGCGTGCATGTATCGTGGACTGCCTGTGAACGTTGCAGGTAGTATGCACATCTTGAATATATTGCGTGGATCAGCGTCATTTCGTAAAGCATCACGGAAGTGAATGTAAGAGTCGCAGCGCAACTTGGTCTGATTCAATTTAATGTAACAGAGTCTTTCGGATTCCATCTTAGCAGCCATGTCTACTATAAATTGATGGAAAAGTTGCCGGCTTCTATGATGCATCTGGGATGCGGCCTGGGCTAGGGGAAAAGGTTTAAAGAATTGGAAAATGGACTGCTGAGGGCGGAACCATTTTCACTCAGCACGTATGCGGGTTTTTTTCAGTAAAGACGCGAATAAAGGAAGTGCTTATTTTGGTAAGATGCGACGATTAAAGCAAAAGTGTTGACAAAGTCGAATATGTCATTTGTGGCTCAAAGTCAAACCTGGTAGCAGGGATAAAAAAAGCCGAATTTCAATGGCCCTGCACCCATTCCAGAATTTGAGTACAAATGTTTTTTACACTCCACTGCACGCACTGACCTGATTTTTCCCGCGCATAGCGTGGCCTTAAATTAATCTGCATTTAAGAAAATACCCAACCGGAAAAAAAATTTTTAAGGGTTGACCGATTGTCCATTTGCCTTCTGTTTGGGAAGAGCTCAGAGTTGAAACTTCACATGGTGACTCCCAATGGCCTCCTCATAAATCCGATCGGTTTTCGCTAAAAACCGACATGCGGTTCAGGCGAAATCTGGGCGTGTCGGTTTTGGGGTTTTATCGATTTTCCGCGCTGTTTAGGGGTCCATGGTCATGAAACGTCTGGACAACACTTCTAAAGGTAGACTCTAAGAGGGTGTCAAATTTGGTTGAAATGCAATAATTCCTTCTGTAATCAGATTTTTCGATTATCGATTTTTTCGAACCTCTGTCCGAAGTAAAAAATCTGGCCCCGTCATGTCCTTACGGCAGCCATTTGCAAACTTGTGGTGAAAACGGCATCGAAATCGGGTGAGAAATGCGGCCTGGGCGAGGTAACAACACCCATGACAGACACACAGACAGACAACATGAGAAATATAGATAGTATTTATATATATATATATATATATATATATATATATATATATATATATGAAGACATGTTTTATGTTTATACATTCTTTTATAGATACAAATATTTAAGTAAATGTTCTGTTGTATAATAAACAGTATTGATAACATTTACCAGCCTGAATGTCCGAGAATTTTTAAATGTTATTATACTGTTTATCATAAACAGAGCATTTATTTAAATATTTATCTATAAAAAGAATAAATAAAACATAAAAAATGTCTTAAAATAATTGTCAGACTTTGTCCATTTCATAATATATTTATATATATATATATATATATATATATATATATATATATATACATATATATATATATATATATATATATATATATATATATATATATATATATAGAGAGAGAGAAAATGATTGAGATAGATAGGAAATTTAAGCGTATTTATTTTACATAAACACAGTGACTGAGAGAACTCGATTCGATTTACAGAAGAATCTTGCTTTATTATTTATTTACTGTTTATATATATATATATATATATATATATATTTATATATATATTATATGAAAGACATTTTATATACATTCTTTTTATAGATACAAATATTTAAGTAAATTCTTTGTTTTTATAATAAACAGTATTTATGACATGTATTGGCCTGAATGTCCGAAAAAATTTCATTAAGTCCGGTAAATGTTATAAATACTGTTTATTATAAAACAGAACATTTACTTAAATATTTGTAGCTATAAAACGAATGTATAAACATAAAAAAAATGTCTTAAAATAATTGTCAGACTTTGTCCATTTCATAATATATATATATATATATATATATATATATATATATATATATATAACGCTTCCCTAAAAAATAGTGGATACAAGAATGCTAACATAAATTATAGAAACAATTGTACTAGCCAGAAAAAAAAAAAACAGGAAAAGAAAAATCATTTGGTATACCCCTCCGTTCAACCAAATGGTTAGTATTAAGCTAGGACAGAAATTCCAAGCTTTAATTGAAAAACACTTTCATACCAATAGTAGACTTAGTAAAATATTTAATAAGAACACCCTAAAATTGAGTTACAGCTGCAATGAAAATCTAGAAAGTATAATAAAAAACACAATAATAAAATACTGAACAAACCCCATGCCTGAATAGTATTAATAAAAACCCTACACCTAAATTAGACAATAACAGTGAAAAATTATGTGATTGTAGAAACCCAGAAGACTGCCCATTGGAAAAGAAATGCTGCGTTAAATCTGTGGTATACCAATGTACTATCTCATCCATTGAGAGTCCTAATACTAATATGATATACATTGGGTCTACGAAGAATGAATTTAAAGCCAGATGGAGGCAGGATAAGTGCTCTTTCAACAATATAAATAAAAGAAATCAGACATCTCTATCTAAATATTTTTGGCATTTGAAGGAAATGAATAAAACACCAAAAGTAAAATGGAACATTATAAATAAAACTAGAACTTGTAAAATTAGGGATGATCCATGCCCTTTATGCCTACATGAAAAACTGCACATTATTAAGTTTCTAAATAATAAAAATCTATTAAACAATAGACGGTTTGATGAGTTAATGAGTTAACGGTTTTTTGCCGACATCATCAAATTTTTGCATTGAATAATTAGCATAAAAACAAACAAACAATAAAATAATTTTTAATATCCTACAAAAAAGATAACCCTTTTTGAAGTCGTCAAAAAACAAATGTTACGGCAGTTTTTATATACACAAAACCCTTTCAGAAAAAATAAAAAAATAAAAATAAATCTCCATAGACACGTAAACCAGACTAGGCGAAATCATCTTCCGTTTTAAATTTAGACACCCCAACCTTACACCCCTGTTTATTTAAACAAATGCTCTAGCCGTTACGATAGAAATTTTGATTTCAATAATGAATATGTTATTAAAACACCTAGATTTCAGAAATAAGTTATTCAAAAAAAAAAAAAAAAAAATCGCTTGAAGATGAAACAGAGCTTACTTTAATTCAATTTAATTCAAATAATTATATTGAAGTTTTCGGCTCTTGTTTTGAAACATGAGAACTCTTATGTAGCGTGTTGGAATCATATTTTTAAATAAATAATTATATATATATATATATATATATATATATATATATATATTTAAAGAATAAATATGCTGATTTATATATTGAATGTCATTTATATTATATTTTTTTGGTAATAAATTCGAATGACATTAGTGAACGTACCAACGATGATCAAAAAAATTTGACTTATCTTTGTCAATAACACAAATTTACTATATTACATAAATTGTTAAAACAAGAATACAAACGTTCTATATATTAGGTAAATAACCTTCCCCCAAAAAACAACAAAACATAAATAAAATTTTATCAAATTTAAAAGCGCACAATAACACAAAATGTCACTTGAATAATAAAAAAAATACTGTATTTAAAATGAACAGGATTTAAATTTATGCTTAAAATAAACCGAGATTAGTGTTTTTTATTTTATATTTAAAATAAACCGGGGTTAATTGAATATTTATATATATATATATATATATATATATATATATATATATATATATATATATATATTGTTGTAACCTAGGGATGGTTACTGAATATAATATTCACATGTAATTAGGTAATGAACGATAATACTTAGGACAAGAACAACGCATATAAGATTCATTGAGCATAATCATGTATGGAGAATCTACTGCTAGAAGTGAGTCAAATAAATTCCACAATGAATCTACCAGCAGCAGGACACCTACGAATAGCCCCACACGGTCAGATGTTCTTACCTCTAATTTCCAATAAAAGGGTATCCAAGCCTACTCAGTCTCGGCAATCAATTTCCCAAGGACCCTTTATAAAAAACGGGATCCAGTTGTTTCCTGAGACGAGATTCTGCCTTTTGTCTTCTATTTCAACTCTCTACCCACCTGGAGACGAATCCCCAACTGCAAACCAACATACAGTATTTACTACTGTATTTATATGAATAGGGGACATACCCATTATCGTCCGTAAGTATGCTACAACACACCCAGACGCACTCACATACACACACAGGCACACACACACTCATATATATATATATATATATATATATAAAATTTATAATTATAAATTAAATAAATTATTAATATAAATTAAATAAATTATAAATATAATTTATAGTTATAAATTATATTTATAAATTATAATTATAAATTATAATTATAAATTATAATTTTATTTATGCTCTACTTTTTAACGAGCACTATTTTTAAAATAATAAAAAAATAAAAAGAACTTTGGATTATTTACCTAACGAGTTGACTTTTTTTATTTTCTATATATTTTTTCACACACACACACACACACACACACAAACACACACACATATATATATATATATATATATCATACTTATTATAAAACCCAGGTTGTGTGTGTGTGTGTCTGTTCGTTTATATATTGGATCGGATTTCCTACATTTTTCAACCGATTTCAACAAAACTTCACAGGACTACGTAGAATTACCTTGCGGTGGTTCTGACAGCGCCAAAAATTGGAAAAAACACAATTATTTTTGCACAAAATCAATTTGAAAACACGATTAAGCGGCATCGCGAGAATGAAAGGGGGACAACTTATATCGACTTTTACTTATTATAAAAACTCAGGTTTTTTTCTTTATTTTTACATTCAGAATGCTTTAAAAATTCCATTTACAAGACAATTGTTTATAATAAAATTCTATTCAATCGATAGACTCATAACGATTGAAAACAATGTTTTTGTTTGAGTTTGGCTTTGACCAATTCATAAAAAAAAACCTAATTAAGACATGCGTGTCCGTCAAACTTAAACAATAATCATTTTCAATTTTATTTTTCAGTCTTTATGATGGTGGATACTTGATCTATCTCTTACTGTTATATCACCGGGCAACGCCGGGATCTACTGCTAGTATATATATATAATTATTGTTTTTTATTATGAACATTATAATAAAACATTTTTAAATCGCTACGGAAAAGTTACCATGTTTCAATACTGTGATAGAACTTCCTCAGTCGATTGTAGGTAACTGGTGATAAAATGATTTTTTAAGGAAATTGAAAAACAAATCGTTACAGTACAACATTATTTACATTCCTACAACGATGCAGAG